TCTCAAATTTACACAGGCCAAAGTAAAACATTAATTTCCTGAATTTCTAGATTACTGACCAACAGATAGCCAGTATTATGCGACGTACTTTTTGTCAGGTCATTTAAAATCCATACATTAATTTTTTTTTAAATATATTTTTATTGATTTCAGAGAGAGGGAAGGAGAGGGAGAGAGAGAGATAGAAACATCAATGATGAGAGAGTCATTGATCGAGGTCTTCAGCCGGCAACCTGGGCATGTGCCCTGACTGACCAGGAATTGAACCCTGATCGCCTGGATCCTAGATCGATGCTCAACCACTGAGCCACGCCTGGCTGGGCCATACATTAATTTTTTAAATAAGTTTTTACATGTCACTATCAGGAGCTCACTATGAATGTGTTATTTTCAAGTGGCTATTTAACCACACGGTACACTACATTTTACATACAATATGCACTTAATCTCTGGGAATAGTAAGTTATATTATTTAAAAATAATACATAGGTCAACAGACTCCAAGCAGGGAGGGGAAGAAGAGGAACAGCTTTGTTGCCTGAGTGCCACACACCACACAGAATGCTCCGTTGGTCACATCATGTGCCCAAGTTGTCATGTTATTTTTAAGAACTCCCATTTCAATGTTGAATTCACCTCTTTATATCAAAAAGTACTTTGCCTCTCAATTTCTTGATTTGGTTTTGCTTCCACTTTGAAACTAATCAAGAAAGGAAAATCATCATGTTCACACATGAAAATTATTAATCTCCTGAAGACTAATTTTTTATACCTGTTCTAAACATTTAATCCTAATTTTCAAAGTTAAGAAAATCCAAAATGAGGAATATTAGGAGTATTTGGCTTATGTGAGCACTAGAGATAAATTTTCTAGGACCAGTTATTCACAAAATAAATTTTTCTCTTCATGTTAGAAAAATTTTTTAGAAATCTGGGTATTGTACTTAACTGATTTTAAAACTTGTATCCTTTTGAAAACTGTATTAATGGAAAAACACTTTTTATAAGCAGTTACGTAAGAATGTTCCAGTGACTACCTGTCCTGATACCCAGTCTCGTTAGAACTTTCTTTTGCAGGGCATTTTCATGTTTGGTTTACAGTCGGTGCAGAGTGGGCAAGTCAACAAAAAGTTTGAGCTAGGGATACGAAAAAAAGAAAGATCAAAGAATGAGAAACATGACTTTGTTTTGGGGTAAACGGACCCCAATCATTTTTTCCTCATGTGTATGGTGCTCCTTATGATTTGTCTTGTATTTTGCCTTTCTGATACCCATCGGACCGCTGCTCTGACCCTTTCCCTTGCCCAGATCTCCGTCTAGGGAACGCTTAATGATCAACTGCCATAGGACTGATGATGGATTAACCAGTGTTTGGCTTTATTCGAAGTCTATGCCCTGCACAGCTCTTGTATGTACTTTAGATGCTAGGAAGTTCTCAGCATGTGATGTGTGATTCTTGTTTGAATGTCTATTACAGGTACCTTGTGAATTCTAGAACAGAGACTGTGCCTCACAATTGTTGGTCCCATGAACTATCTTTCATGGTGATGTTTTTGAAAAATACAATCAGGAAACAACCCCAACAAGTTTGGAATTTAAAATAGAATCATATATCAAGTTAAAAAAAAAAATCTCTTCTCCCTCCTTTCCTCACCCCCACATAACAGCTGCATTTAAGTAAAATGCAAGGTGCTAGGGGAAAAGCCCTGGCCAGATGAGAGTTTGGTGGAATAAAATTACTGTTTTAAAAAAACTGCTTCACCACAGATATTTTCGAGTTTCTCTTTTTTACCTTTCTAAACAATTACTTTTTAGGAACATTTGGTATAATGTGCATAAATTTACCGATTTATGGGCAAAATGATACAAATAGCATCTTGACTGAACATCATTTACCTCAGATATTCAACCAGCAGTACATTTTTTATGCAGTCTCAACCCATATCCTATTTGTTACCTCTCAAAATATTGGAAAGCAATTATTTTAGCTTTACTCTGTATTTCTTGTCAGTGTTTTGGGCACAGGTTGTTGTACTACTGTCAAATTGTACTTGCTGTTTTTTCTGCAAGTATTTAACAAAAAGCTAAAAAAGAAAAAAAAGCCCCATAAAACCCCACCTTGGATAAGTGATTGTTAAATATTGTACAAATAAAGTGTATGCTATCCCCATTACATCCCCAAGTTAAATAAAAAAGTGAATATAGTATGATTTGCATATGCAGTTTTTCTTTAGCTATGTTCTTCTTAAAGAGGGGAATAGTAGCTTTGTAACTTACAGTGAGGCTTCCACCTGGAGATTTGCAAGAATGGGGATAATGCAGCGGTTGAGCATCGATCTAGGACCCAGGAGATCGAGGTTCGATTCCCGGTCAGGGCACAAGCCCAGGTTTAGGGCTCAATCCCCAGTAGGGGGCGTGCAGGAGGCAGCCCATCAATGACTCTCATCACTGATGTTTCAACTCTCCCCTCTCTCCCTTTGTCTGAAATCAATGTATTTAAAGAAAGAATGGGGATAACGGTGAAAGGGAGGCTCCTCAGCTGTGGCATTGCCCTCCGTCGCTGTCTAAGCAGACGGTGTTCCCGCTGAGCACTGAAGTTGTTTTAGGAAGGAAGCCAGAGGCCAGCAGCATTACCTGTCCCGACTTTTCACATGGAAATAGAAAGACGTGGCTTAGGAAATGTCATCAAAGATAGAAGCTATATTCCCAAGTTGTAACCTGTTTACCTTTTGAATGTTGCAAAGGTTTTCTTTATACTGTGGCTTTTGAAGGGAAGGAGTGGAAAGGCCCCATCTTGCCACATGGAGTGTCACAGTTCATGCTAATGGATTCTCAGTTTTTTAGGGTAAAGGTGAAAGAAGGGGCAGCGCGTAGGTTAGGTGGTTTGAGAGAACTGGCATTGTCTTGTAAACCCCACGAAAACTGTAGAAAGACTGGAATTGTTTTACACAATGTGTTCTGTAAAACAGATTTGTAAGTAAGCTGAGGCAGTACATACTTGATACAATAGCATGATGATACAGTAATTTTGGACAACAGGTTTTCATTCCTCAGCCATTCGCATGCATGTGCACATTAATTGGAAAGTTTCTTTTTAATTTAAAATTTTTATATAAGATCCTGCTTTTGGTAGGGCATCTGGGGTGAGCTCACGAGTAAAAACTGCACTGAAAATTCTCTGACGCTTCTTCCACACCTGCCTATCAATCTGATGACCTAAGGAGTTGATGCTTTTGTTTTTGTGTTAATTTTTATAAGAGTTTATTTGAACCAAACTGATGACACACTTCAGAAGGAACATCTCACACACTCCCACGGGGATCTTGTGCTGTCAAAGGCTCCATCCCCTCTGGGAAATGAAGAAAGTATCCTTAAGCCATGTTTGCTACATGGGGCTTCTCATATTTGGTTTTTTATTTTGTTGATGATGGTTTAAGCAGTTTAATGGATGAAGTTAGTCTAAAAATTTTTAAGTACACTGTAGTTTGTGTTAGGGAATATGGGAAGAGGAAAATCAACATCACTCCGCCCCTCAAAAGATGCCTTTGCAATGTAGATACACTTTATTTGTATGACTTTTGCTAACCTGTTTTTTCTAATTTGCTTTCTGTTTCAGTGAATAGGAAAACCAACCTTGCTACTTAGTTTTTTAATCTCTATACCTGGATGTTGATGGATCTTATGTATATAGCTCAGACATACCATTTAGGCAGATAAGGGAGGGCTCTCAGCCTCTTAGTGGCATCTTAACCTAATAAAAATTTGTAATTCTCAAGTCAGTTCTTTAAGTATTTTCTTTTACAGTCAGTACTTTAAAGTAGTTTAGAAATTTTTTTCAAGGGACAATTTAGCGCAAGTGTAAAATCTTCGCTTCTAGTAATAGTGATGCTAACCATGTTAACTATTTTGGCAAAATATCCCCTAAAAATCTGTAGAGTACTGCACAGAACCAGTACGAAAGCTTTGGATTCAGTGAGACTGCTGAAAAGTAAATGACAGTCATCTGAAGACTTGGAGGGGGCAGGGAAGGAACAGCTAAGTGCAAAACAATAGGTTGTAACTACTGAAGAGCTACTTTTATTATGTACAGATACTTCTTAAAAACCAGATAAATCATTTATTGGAGTATTCTTTAAAAGTACCTGGTAAGGAACCATTACTGAACTTCAGGTCTTAATAGCAGGGAATTTGGTATCAATAAACCTGATTTGAACCAGGATCTGTCGACCTCTACCTGTGTGATTCTGGACACTGCCACTACTGTGCCAGTTTCCTCATCAGTAAATAACAGAATGGAAACATCTATGGCCTCTGACAGTTACAAGTATTACAAACTGCACAAGATTAGGGACACTGCTTTCTGTAAACCTTCCATGAAAACAATAGGCAATCAAATACTGCTGAATAAATGAAGTCACTAACATTTAACAAATGCTTATTAAAGTTCACTTTAAACATAAGGCTATATTTATGGATTCCTGAATTTATAAGGTGATTCTCTGACTGACAGTTCCACATTCCTCTTAGGGATTTACTTTTAGATATAAGTAGATTGAGTAACACTGCTAAACGTTTCCCATTATTTGTGAAAGTGGTTTTCTGGGACTTTCCTAAAGTACTTGTTAAAAAATTGACAAATTCTGATCATTTTGGACTAGAATATGCCCAAGAATCTGCAATAAAAAAAATCTTTCAAGGGATTCTTCTGTAGATGGTATAAAGTTCCACATTTTGAGAAGTCTGGAAGAAAATGTCCAAACTTTTGGCCTTTTTCTTCCATGTGAATAGTCTTCTAGCCAACTAGCCAGGCTCCTGAACTAGAAGATGTGGGTCTGGAATAGAATCCCCTCAAAAAACCCCAGCACCTCCCAATTAAACAGAAGATTACTCATTACATCTCAGCTCTTACTGTTGTTTCTTTAGTGCTTTGTTCAAGGTTTATAAAAACATCAGCTGCTGGACTGAAGTGAACACGTCAGATGTCACACACACACTAAGTATATGGTTCAATCCCTATAAAATAGTCACATTTATTTTTTTAAACTAGTTACAACACAGTCTAAATTACTAGAATTATAAATCATGTAACTGCTCATGATTTAAAGGCAGAGCACAGCCAAGGATACTACATGTGTAACATCCCCCATAAATACAAAAGTACATGTCTACAAATATAAGAAAATGTAACAACGTGTCTTGTTAAAGGACAACAGCTTGTAGTTCTTTAGAGAAGTCAGCCTGCAACTCCGAAACTGAAGCCGCGGGTTATGCTCATAACCAGCTTAGTGAGGATGTTGCCCACTGCCTAACATCTGTAGGGCAGTTGGGGTATTTCTGCAAAGCATTCATAATTTGAGTATTATCCAAAAGTAGTTTCATCAGCTGGTACTCTCTCTGTGCATTTACTGAAGTTCTTTCCATGGGCCTTATTAATTCTAATTGTTGTAAGTGTTCAAAAGCCTGAAACATGAAAGAAACAGTTTAGGTTCGATAGCGGAACAATGCAAAGAATAGTTAACGGTTTTGGCCAATTATGGGGCAGAATTCCAGAAAACAAAACTTAATAGGAATCAGTAAGGTTCAAAAGCAACTCTCCATCACCTTCGTAAAAACTTACATATCAGGTGAAGCAGTGTCAATATACAAGTATCTGTCCCTGCACTGTTGAATGTAAACAGGAAAAATTTCAATCCAGTCTGCAAAGGGTGATTTTTTTCCCTTAATCTCAGTTTTTGTTCCTGATCTCATTGTGTATATTTCCTCCTACGGCTGAAGTTAACAAAGGGTTTCCAGCTCTCTATAAAAAATCTAAGATCTATAAGACCAGTACTTTTTGACTTATTTGCACTTTTGTTTGTACTTTGTAAGACTTTGCTGTATAAATTTAATACAGATGCAAAACATGAGGCAGACAAGAAAGACCCCTAGGAGTACACCAAGCCTACCAGCTGATCCTATCAATAGGTCACTCAGCAGAGTAGCACCAGAATGGAGAGGGGACAGACTCCTGCTGCCCTATAAAGGGTGATGGAACCGCCACAACCTGTGCAAAAGTTTTTCTTCCATCTTCCCTGCCTCAATAGGGTTCTTTTCTGTCTGTATTAAGTCTTTTCTAACCTTGATGATTGTTTTAGATATTAGGGTATGAAAAAAATGTTGTCATGACATAACCATTCAATCAATTTCTGAGCCTTCTGTTTCTACAGCTTCATTGTGAAAAATATCACTAGAATATATTCTTTATGTATCATAAAAATTCTGATGAAGAGAGAAATAACTCAGGTACCACTTCTGAAAATGAGAAAATACAAGAGGCAGCAATATTTCCAGGTAGCAAAAATACCTTTTTATTTAAAATATAGAAACTCATAAGAAGGTAAATACTCAGGTGCCCCTTTCCACTCATATACCTCCCACAAACCATGACTATTAGAAAGTCACGGACATTAGGAAGGGGGAGAAAACCCACCTGCAGTATGCTAGATACTTTTCTTGTTGTGAAGAAATGGCAATGCCCCAACAGTTTTTGGTTGCTACAAAAAATAAACTTCTGACTACTAGGGTCTACAAGGGATGCTAACATGCATGGGTCCACTGCTTAAAAGAAAAAAGTTTCTTCTTATAAAGTCCTCTAGAGCTGTGCTGTCCAAGGTAACCACTAGCTAGCAGAGCTATTGAGCATTTGAAAAGTGGGACTTGATTTTTAATATTATTTACATTTCATTAAGTTGAATTTAAAAACTGATACTAGAATCAATTAGAAAATTTCAAGTATGTTTACAACAATTTCAGAATGTAAGTCTACTTCTTTAGCTAAAAATTTTATGGAATCTAAAGAGCAAGTATTTCCAATGAATATTTAGGAAATTAAATAGGTAGAAAACACATTGAATTTCAAAGACTTAACACACAAAAAAATAAAGCATTAATTTTCTATACTGATTATAGATTAAAATGTTTTTGGTATATTAGGTTAAATAAAATTTATTATTAAAGTTAATTTCACCTTATTTTCTTTTTTGTTACCACTAGAAAGCGAAAATCACACTACGTGGCTCACATATTTCTAGTGGACAATAGTACACTTGAATAAAGTTCCTCAAGTTTTCAAACCCCTGCTTCACCCAACCCCTAATAAAAACCTTCTCTGTATCCCCTCACCAGCCAATGAGACTTTGTCTGTTGGATTCTTAATGGCTCACATCAGCATTTTTGTCTCTTCTTATTGCTAAAATTATAGAGGTAAACCTTGTAAAGGGATAGGGCTACATCAAGATTGTAATTAATGGTTCCTTTTCAGGATGCAAGTGCTAGGAACAGACAGTAGAGGGCAGTATACTCCCACAAACTAAAACACCTGGCTGCTTGCTTCAAAACTATTCAACATTTTTCAAAATTAATAAAAGTTCAACTATGATATATACAGTTAGCCCTCGAACAGTGCTGGGGTTAGGGGTGCCAACAACTCTCCACATCCGGTCAAAAATCCTCGTATAACTTCTGACTCCACAAAACCTTTACTAGGGCTTACTGCTGACTAGAAACCTTATCAATAACATAAACAGCTGATTGACATATATTTTGTATGTCATATGTATTATATACTATATTCTTACAATAAAGTAAGCTATACTAAAGAAAACTTTATTAATAATAAGGAAGAAAAAATACATTTACAGTACTTACTGAAAAAAATATCCATGTATAAGTGGGCCCTCACAGTTCAAACACCTGTGTTGTTCAAGGGTCAACTGGACAGTCAAATTGGATATAAAAGTATACCTGCCTACAGAAAAATAACTGAATCTTACCTTCATGACAACAGGTTTCTCAAAATTATAAACAGAATGGGCCTTCCTTTGAACAAACTTCTGAAACTCTGGACAGAAAGCAATGACAAAGTTAGTATCTTTAAATAAGCAATGGGGTAGAGTCAGAAAGAAACTACCAAAGTCTCATCTCACCATTATAGACCATTTGAAAATTAAAGGGCTCCTCTTCATAGATGTCATTTAAATGTTTCATTGCTATTATAAGACAGATTTCCAAGACTGACAAACCTATAGTAAAAGGGAAACAGAGTTGTAGTTTACTTACTGATACACAGATTGAAATAACTGTCCTCCAAATAGAATGATAAAATGAAAGATCATGGATTTGAGGTCGAGACCACCCAGGTGTAAATGTGTTTCAGTTACTACTGTCTATATAATCTTAAGCAAGTTACTCAACTTCCCTGAGCTTAGTTTTCATATCAGCAAAATATGGACCTTTCTAAACTCAGATGTTAGAAGAGTTAGAGGCAATATTATCAAGCACTTACCATATGGCCCACAGTAAACAAACTGAAGTGTAACCATTATGTAACTTATTAAATCACACAGGGCTCTTTCAGAGAATCCTTAAATCCCTGGAAATTATATCTAAAATTTTTTTCCTGGAGAGGAAGTTCATTAGATTCTCAAAAGGGACAGTCAACCCCCAAATGGCTAAAAGCTGATGCTCTTCAACAGCACTTGCAGTAAGAACACCTGCAACAGAGCCTTAGCTGGTTTCCAACGTGGCAAGGAAAGCAGGCCAGTTTTCTTGGACTTTAAATGGGAATGACAACAGCTTATAAAGGGCTGAGTTAAAGGCAGTGTGGATATAAAAGAATTCTGTATATAAAGCACTATGACCAAGGTTAATTACAATTCTGAAAAGCACCCCATTATACAAACTCAAACCTATAAAAACTATTAATCAAGTAGGTTTCTCACCATGTACAATATTGGCTTTCGAGTCCATGCTACACAGCTGGTTTGCCTCCATCAGATCTGCTGCAGTCATAAATGGGTGTGTTGTTGTTACTCGACTTAAAGCAAACATCTAGGGAAATGAGGATCAGAAAAACAATTACACCTTTACTTGGGTGATTTGGAGATATTATTGAACAAAACTTTTTAATTAGGAGAGTCTATTCTTATGCAAGAATAAATATTAATACTTGGGAAAACTATTCTCTCATATTTAGCTTTATATAAATTTAGTATTTCAATTCATATGCCATATAACGATAAATGTAAAGCATAAAAAAGTTTTGCCGCTCTCTGTACCCCTTCCCACTTGTATATATTGTTTACAACTCCTCAAAAGAAAAACATTTAAGAAAGAGTAGGGCAAGCAGAAGAGACCCAAAATAAGAATACTACTTAAAGCCTCAGGCTAAACCAAACCGAATAGGCAGATCTGACTTGTATAAACTTTATCACCCACCAGCTGGCAGGAAAACAAGGCTTAAAATTAATTATGTAAAGTTTAAACTGTGCTATTTCCCTGGTTACTGGAGAGGTTAACATCTTTGCATAGATGTCATATGGGCTCTACATTGCTAGACGGTTCGCTCATATTCTCAGCTCCGTCCTTTACTGGTTACTGGAGCAGCTCTTTATTATGGAGAGAACCTCCGATCAGACGCCTGCAGGCACCCTCTTCCAATCAGGCTGCTTTTACCTCCATCCTGGCCACCAGTCTTCATTTATTCTGTGATATCTTTTGTCCAGACATTTAAAAATTCAGTGTAGCTCACTTTCTTCATCTTTTCTTTTATGGTTTGGGATTTGTGTATTTTCTCTAAGAAATCATTCCCATGCTCTTACATTTTTTTCTAAAAAATTTTTCAGTTTTCGTGTATACATTTAGGTTTATCAACAGGGAATTTACTTTTGGATATGCAATGAGGGTTTTTTTTTTTCTATGTGTATTAACTCCTGAGATTTTTTTGCTGCTGAAAAATTATCCAAACTATAGCTAAAGTCAGTCAAGTCTGTCCCTCTTCTTTATAATTTCCACCAATTCCAAAACTTTTCTTAAACAAGAAAAACCAAAATAAACTCAAGCCATTACCTCAAATTAGAAATGTAATAGAAAAATCGCAAAGCAATTGTTCACACTGACAATTTTAAGGCAGAAATATTTTCTTAGAATGAGAAGTGTGTGCTTATGAATATATACATGTGAATATATGTGTGGTGTGTGTATCCTCTGTATAAAATAAGTTAAAGTCTATTTTCATATATAAATAACTAAAAATACTATTATAAAAATTCTTAATCCCAAAGTTCTTTTTATAAGACAGCTGTTAGTGAAAATGGCAGTATCATTTTGGTGGACTGGAGGGGAACTGCTAAAGAGAAAGTATGTAGAAAAGAAAGACCTCTTAAATTTCCTCAGCAAAAACAGAAATGGGGAAGGAGAATCTGTAAATAAACAAACAGAACCATAGAGTAAAGCAGGATACAAGCTTAAAGCTAGATCTTGGCTTTGAGCTGGGTTCATTATCTACTAGCTATGTGACCTGGGACAAGATATTTAACAATAGGAAGCCTGAGTTTCTTCAAAAATAAGAACAAAAATACCCAAGGATAAAAAATAGACATAATGTTGGTAAAGTAACTATAGTACCTGGCTCAAGTGCTATTTAATAACTGATACCTATTATTATAAATGAAAGTGACCAAGAAGGAATTCATGAAACAAAAAGTAGTTTGCCCTTGAAAGATATTTGCCATAAGTAATTTTCTAGAATCATTAGGCTAATGTAAAATACTCTTAGTGAAAGAAGAGCTTTAATTTTCAGAATAAAGTACCCCTTCATTGATACTGTTTATGCTTAAGATATTTTCACTTTGTCTAAGACCATAACAAGGTGGGATTTATTCCAGGAATGAAAAGCTAGTTCAACATTCAAAAATCAAGCACTGCAATCCAACATATCTAGGCTAAAGAAGAAAAATCACAGATCATACCCACTGACACAGAGTAAGCATTTGACAAATCCAGCATCTCTTCATAATAAACTATCAAGTCAGAAATAGAAGGGAATTATCATAACTTGATAACAAACTATGAAAAACCTATAGCTTATATCATACTTAATGGCAAAAGACTGAATGCTTTCCCCCTAAGATTGGAAACAAAGCAAGGATGTCCACCCTCACCACACTTACTTAACATAGTGTGAGAAATTCTAGACATTGCAATAAGGCAAGAAAAAGAAAATATATTCAGATTGGAAAGGGGAAAAAAAATACCTCTCTATCTGCATATGATATGACTATCTCAAGAAATCTACAAAAACTCCTAGAAATGAGTTCAGCAAGATTACAAAGTACATCAACATACAAAAATCAATCACATGTCCATATACTAACAATGAGCATGCCAAAACCAAAATTAAAAACAAAATATCACAAGGGCTCTAAAAAAATTAAATACTTAGGTGTATACTTGAGACATGTACAAACAGGATCAGTATGGTAAAAATTATAAAATAATGATGAAAAAAATCAAAATAATGATGAAAGAACTAAATGAAAGAAGAGATGTACAGTTGTCAGAGAATGGAAGGCTCCGTGAGTAAACATGATAATTCTCCCAAAATCTACCTACAGGTTTAATCAATTCCCATCAGACCATAATTATCTGGTGGAATAAAATAAATGATAAAAAGAAAACTAATACAAACCAATAGCATGTGTAATGACCGCAGGTTTTTGCTGACATTGAAATGCTTCTGTAATACTTCTCGCACACTTGTATCTTCTGAGAGACACTAGAGAGAGAAAACAAAAAAAGAATTAAGGAATAATGCAATTTAAAACCTAAATATAATCTTGTGCCTCACTAGTTGGTGCATGTTGTTAATTCTATTCATGATTCAATAGGTGCTGCTCTTATTTATGACACAAAAGTCAAAATCAAATTTCCAGTCTATTGATTTTCTTCTCACTCCTTTACATTATTTCAGTTGACACAAAGATAAAGCATAATCCTTGCTACCTGCAAATTTCTAGTCTGCAAAGAGAATCTATAAAGTGATTCTAGTGGGATACAGCAAAGAACACAATAGAGAATAAGAGTTACTATACTTGGGAAAACAAAGTATTCTACAGAATGCTTAAACCGTGTGAGTCAATAGGTTAAAAAGAAGAAAACGTTCCAATGATAAGAACAGCATGAGTGAAGCAGGAAGATTGTGGCACGCTGACAGCAGATAAGTAGTCATGTAATCCTCAGCTTCAGTTATTGGCAAAGGAATTTATATAGAAAGACAAAGGCAGGAAAACCTAACTGAAGGTGATTGTAACTGTTCATACAAGAGACAGTCTGAATTAACAAAGTGGTGTGAAGACAAGAGAGAATTAAGACGTTTATAAAAGGTATCTCTGATGGAGAGTCAACTGGTGAGATGTGGAGGAGAAAAGGTTTGCGAGGGGAAAGAAAAAAATCTGAGATGGTACCATAGCAAAAAGAATGTCCCAGGAGGAGTGACGAGTGAGATGCAGTCAAGAAGTGAAACGATTATCAATGTTTAAGAAGCAGAAAAAGAGAAGCAAAGTAAAAGACTCAGATACTGATGACTGGAAGAGAGTATAAGCAAGAGCAATGAAACCAAGGGAAGAAAACATCAAGAGACAAGTGGTGATCAACAATGTAAAGTACTTCGTATAATTAAATTAAGATATATTTTGAGAAGAAGCTAATGGCTTTGGAAATTCAGAGATCTTTTGAAAAAGCATTATCTAAAATAGCCAACTAACTGCACTAAATTAGGATTAATGAAAAGTAAGGTATACTTGGCACTGAAGAAAGATTAGATAAAAGGAGAGTAAATTCAAAGTTGGCAGAGCCAAGAAAGTCTTGAGGAAGACTGATGTTAAGTTTTAATAAATCATCTGCAAAGAATAAAGATTATTTTTCCTTAAAAAAGAAAAAAAAAAAAGCCAGAAAACTAAGTATTAAGTAGTTCTATATTTTTTAGAGCTAAAACTGCATGTTTCTACTTCTTCCATTGTAAGATCCAGATTCAGAAATAAGTTCTAGTCTAATGAAATAAAGTTCTGCGTTCTCAGTAAATATATTATCCTACTTATAGTCCCCATTTCCTTACTATTGTTTTAGGCCTGTTGCTATACACACCTTTTAATCATAAACAGGGTCAAATACCCTTTGAAGACACAAGATGAACTTAAAATAAAGCAAAGTAATTCAAATAAAAAACTTTTGGAAATTAACTGTAATCCTGGCTTCTGCAATTGTTGACTCTTATCATGTCACTTATAAAGTTGATGTATTACAATCAGAGCACTTAGGAAAACTAAAAAAAATCCTCTAGGACAAAAATATTGATGGGAAATTTTTTTCTGCAATAATTCAATTGTGTGTTTTTTAAAAAAGTATTTGCTTTAAAAAAAATAACTGTGTCACCCTGGCCAGGTGGCTCAGTTGGCTGGAGCATCATCCCATGCACCGAAAGGTTGTGGGTTTGATTCCCAGTGAGGGGCATATGGGAGGCAACCTATTTGTTTCTTTCTCACATCTTTTTTTTTCTTTCTCTCTCTCTCTCCCTTCCTCTCTCTATAAAATCAATAAAAGCATATCCTCAGGTGAGGATTAAAAAATAAATAAAAAAACCCACATGTGTCAAAGGGTTAGTCTTCTATACTCTGCCTTTCTGCTTATCTCTTTATTTTTAGAGGTCTGACTCCAACTCCCCTTCTTTCTGAAGGCTATCAACTCCTTGCTTCCATAATTAATCTGCTTAAAAAAGTTTACAAGATCTATATGTGAGCCATTAAAAAATAAAACCTTATATTTTTTTATTTCACCTTAATTCAAACACTGTAAACTGCTTGAGGATAAGGTTATCAATAGCATTTATTGGATGCCTATTGTACTTAATTATGATAATTATTGAAGATATTAGATCTTAGGTGTTGAAACATGACTGAATTTATTACACTTGGCTCAGGAAATAATGTAAAGGGAATAGGACAGAGAGACCGACTGATAATACCACTTATAGGAACATGGGAGAAATTCCCAGAAATAAAACAGACCCCACCCCCCTCCTCCCAACTGTTCAGGGAAGCTGATACATTTCCTTTTCACCAATGAACACATGAACAGTTGCCACAGGAGCAGGTTCTCATTGTGCTGATCACACAGTGTGCTTGGCCAGTGACCCCTTCAGGTAAGATTCTAAGCAGAAAGTTACAGAATTACACCTGCACCTCAGGACCCATGCTGCTCCAGTGATAACTTAGCGGCAAGCAGTATATGTACTAAATCTCCTAGTCAGTTCCTGCTAAAACTTCTCACCTTTTGTTAACTAAACAGGAAAGGTTTAAGACAATAGGTAAGTCTTCCTTGAACTTAGCTATAGTACTTTGAGGAAATTTCCTTAGAGGAGAATTAGCTATGGTTCTTTTAAAATGTTCTTTTATCTCTTATACTTCCATGCTAAGATAGTGTTTACTCTGCTTACTTATTTGACTCTTTTGGGTTATATGTAATATTCAGAGGTCTAGGTTCAACACTATCCCATGCCAGAGGGGATTAATGAGGGGGAAAAGGGGACATCTGTAATACTTTCAACAATAAAGATAAATTTATTTAAAAAAGGTACTTCTTGGATGAGATTCCATAGGTGACCTATTATCTATACCATTGCTTTTGGTTTAACCTTGGAACTAGGAAAACTTGCTGGACAGTCAGCACTGAGAGAAGGGATAGCTCCCTCAATGCAGTCCCCACCCCACTCCCACTCACAGGACAGGACCTCTGGCCATGGTGCTGATATATTTTTCAAGTGAAGTTCATTTATTAGCATACCAAAAGGAGGTAGCAAAAGATTAGGACAGGGGGAAAAGGTATCAGAACTAAGAGACAAACTCCACTGGTACTAATTTTACCTTATAAAAGAACTACAAGATTGCCCAAAAGGTGACAGGATTGCTCACATTTATTCCTACCATCTGCCTCTAAATTCAGTGGACCAGCAAAAAGGGGAAAAAAAACTAAGGGCTAGCCTCTCTACCACCACATGGTGACCCATTTTCTGAGTCACTCGGAGTTATGCTTCACTAGTAGCCCCATCATCTACTTCCTTTATATACCTACTCTGAAATGATCAGAATGTAACATCTGGGAAGGACAGAAAGATGGACAATGACACAGTACAACTTGGGCTATTCAGTCATCTTAGGAAAGAAAGTGAGCGAGGACAGAAGTAATAAAAGCCCTGAGATAGCACAAACATTTAAATACTATGGAAGACTGCATCTGAATCTCTAAAGCAGTCAGAAAACACACTGTTGTAACAAGACAGTTAAAGAGCTGTAGAAGGTGAAAGTCTGCGACTCACTAAAAAGGGGATTTAGAGACCAGAGATCCAGAGCTCCTATACACTCCAGGCCTTGGAAAGGAAGGGACAATGTGGGAGCACCAATTATAAAGTGTTCCTAAAAATGGAATCTTATAGTTAGATATAGTATCAAAGAAAATTTACCTGAGCTAACAAATATCTGAGTCCCAGGCAAGACTAATTTGGGGAAGAGGATGGAAGAGAGGAGCCACGCCTAGGAGCCATGATAATTATTATCATGGCACAGTATCTGAATTTTAAGGATAAAGTTAACCATTTTTACATACAATCCCATACAGTTATATTAGGACAAATAATATGGAATTATCAATCAGAACAAAGTGTAAAAGGTAAAACAAAATATAATATGTAAAGTTTAAATCCTTAAAAACAAGTTTAGTGTGTGTGTATACACACACACACACATAAAGTCTGAAATGTTATAAATGAATAACTACTCTTATAAAGTTGGATATAACAAAAACTTCTGACTTCTACTATATTCTTATGCACTGATTACATTTTGTTCAATGAACTTTTAATTTAATAAGTGAAATGTGTCAGAAGTACTAATGCTTACATGAGCAGATTATATTTTATTATTAAAACAAGAATCAAGTTTCAGTTATGCAAAATGAGTAAGTTCCAGAGATGTAATGCAAAGCAGTGTGACTATGGTTAACAATACAGCATTATACACTTGAAATCTGCATAGAGGATAGATCTTAAGTGTTCTCACATTAAAAAAAAAAAAAAAAAAGGAAGAAATTATATTAATGTGAGGTGATGGATATATTTAATAACTTGATTGTGGTATTTCACAATGTATGTCAAAACATCAAGTTGTACACCATAAACCTACTATTTTCAATTTGTCAATTATACTTCAACAAAGATGGGAAAAACAAGAATCATTTAAGAGAAAAATAAATACAAAGTTCTCAGTTTTAGTTTGGTATTGTTATTTAAGAATAAAATCAGTATTGCTTTACTATAAAACAATCTATTTTTAGAGCCAGTGAACACAGACTGTGTAACTCTTAATTACCCATATATCTAATCATCCTCACATTAGTATTTAATATTGCATACCAGTTTTATCCAATTCTTTCAAAACCAAGGACTTTTTATATTATTTTCCACTTTCACAAGAACCATGTATTTTGAATGATTCTGTGTAGGTTTTATATAGCAACACTGTTCTTCAATTATGTTATTAAACTTCCTCTCTCTCTCTCCCTGCCAACTGAAATTTCTTGTCAGCATAAGAAAAACTGATGCTAATATGTTGAGCTTACATAACAATGGTCTGTAGAAGGCTGTTCAATTTAAGGGCAGGTAATTTAGAGAGTCCACAGGTTTAGTAAATCTTTAAAACCACACGTGAAGGTGCCTCTGTAGCCAAGAACCTCAGGGCTCCAGGGACTTCAACATGGAGTTCGCAATATATATAATACAACCACAAGTGCCGTACTCTGAATTGCCTTTTAACAGACACAATGAGATAAAAGCTAAAGTTCTTTATGAGAAGTGGAGGGAAAAAAGCCACGTAGGTATGAATCACTAACCTAATTAATATAATGCTAAACTTACAAAATAAAAATAATTTTTATGTTGGAAACACTTCCAATAAAATAACCTAAAATACAAATCAGATATAAATAAAACAAAAATTTCAATCAATTTTCTCTATTGAGAGAAAAAATTCAGGAGCTATGACATTTGAACAGTTTTTTATTTTATTTTATTTTATTTTATTTTATTTTATTTTATTTTATTTTATTTATTTTTTTAAATATATCTTTATTGACTTCAGAGAGAGAAAAGGAGAGAGAGAGAGAGAGATAGAAACATCAATGATGAGAGAGTCATTGATCAAGCCCACAACCCGGGCATGTGCCCTAACAGGGAATCGAACCCCGATAGCCTGGATCCTAGGTTGACGCTCAACCGCTGAGCCACGCCCGGCCGTGCTGAACCATCTTTTAAAAGAAGAAAATATGCACACACAAAAAGTGTAGCATTTGTATTCAAGCAGTTTTACGCCATAGTACATTAGAAGCTTTGTGCTAATGCAGAAATTTTAAATATTTGTAAGTTTTAATTGCTTTCAAATGGTATAGCAAGTCACAAAAATTACTTTAAATATTGATGCTTTTGTTCCAAGTTACCTGAACATTCTCATTCCACTTCTCAGCAAAAAGCTTGTCTGGAAATTCTGCAGGTAGAGATAATTGTTCTTTAAATATTTTAAGATACTGTGGAAAACCAAATGAATTCATTAAGTGTATCTGCCGGTGAGAAAATCGTGACTTCACTCTTTTTTCTAAGAGTTCCAAAATATCCTTAAAAACAAACAGAAACTCCTGTAAGATGCACGTTAAAAAAAAATCAGCGTTAGAGATATATTTAAATTATTAGTCATAATTAGCAATGTCTATCCTATAACACACAATTAAGCATAACAAAAAATTTATGAAAGCCTCTAAAAATTCAAATTATTCCCTTGATCTCCTTACAGTTACAAGGCAGTAGAAGAGAGTGTGGCTTGGAAATAAACCAAGCCTCTAAGACTCTGTTCTATGCACTACTTTAATCCCCTTCGAGCATCTGTAGACCTGGTGATGTCATGCCTTTTATCTACCATGTTATTCTCAGCTAATCTTTAACATTCTAAGACTTACAATAATTGCTACCAAAAAAATCTAACTATTATTTAATAGTTATTTATCATAGCAACATTAAGAGTTTCAATAAGGAATTCCATACATCAGATTAAAAAATTAAGATAATAATATGCATTAAGACTTATTACATTAATGAAAATTAAACATCTCCATTGTTTTATGTAACAAAGACTCAAGTAGCAGCATGTATAATGGAGAAAAGTTCAGTTCACTGAAATATCCAGAATTTAAGCTGAGCCAAGCTGAAACTGAAGGAACAAACTGCAGAAGAGGAAACTGGCAGGAACACAGCCCGACAGTGGTAGGTTATTGTCTTGTGGCTTTTTTATAGTGATATTTTAGAAACTGATTATATTTATGCTACTTTCCTCAAGAAGTTAGAAATCAAGTTTACTGCCAACCTTCTATAATTAAGTTTTTTTAAAGTTGTGATGAGCCCCAGAAATATGGGTTTTTAAATCTACCCAGATGATTTCCATACAACAGCCAGGTTAAGAAATCAACTGTACAGAGGAAAGAATTCAAGTGATCAAAATGGGATCATGGTTAGTTTGGGAAGGAAGACAGGAAAGATTAACAGATTGGGGTTTAAGGAGAAAGGGTGAATGAAATGTTTTTATAGCTTAAAGAAAAATATAGTTATACATTACCCATATAGGTAAGTGGCTGAAAGATGAATGTAAAAGATATTTTAGTGGTGAATAATAATGACAGAAATTGACAATGTGGGGATACAGAGGTCAGTGAAAAAGGAGGATTATTTCCACAGGGAAGAGGCTGTTTGCTGGCAAAGTCACTACACTCCATCTGTCCCTTTGCTCTTTCCCTATAAATACAGATCCATATAGACTTGTTGGAGAATTATACATCCAGAATAAAAATGAGCCTCTAGTAATACTGCTAAGGAGCTACTGACCCTTTATTTTGTCCTTCACTGGGTCAGTAACATTTGCCACTGCCACTGCCACTCAAAGATTATTTTTAACAAGAGGAAAGGTGCCTCAACCCCTGTGCAGACTGCTGCTTCTGGCAAGGAGGGGTATCACTATGAGGAGAACCAGCCAGATGTTCTACGAGGGAGGCTAATTATGAAGCTCTGGAGCACTGGGGAGGGAACGAGAAAGCTGCTCCACCGAAGAAACGGCACTAGGAGGACTACTGACAGATGACTGTAAAAAGTTTCACTTTCCTAAAAAAGGAAGAGCTAGAGAAAAACAGAACAAGTACATGAACTTTATTTCCAGCTGCATATACTTACAAAGTTAAAATAGTAACATTCTGAACTGATTCCAAGCATTTTCAAAATATGCAAAAAATCATAAATGTAAACATAGAAACTACTGGCAATTTTTATCAAATAGTGGTAAGATTACTTAACTTTCTCTTTACTTGCTAATGCAGAAATTGTATTTATTAGCGTAATTTGACTTTATTTTTTTATTTAGTGATTCCATTGGAGGGACAGAGGTACTTATGAGCATGTATGACAACTGTTTTCTTATTTTCCTCAATCTGAGTTCAAAAGTGGGATAAATGCATCAGGAATCAGGGAAACATATTTGAAAAATGCCTAATATGATGACTTACATAAGTGACTATGTTGATAATTAAGATTTCATTTTCTAAATATTATAATTAATTTTTTAATAGAAAGACAGACTTACCAATCTACATGTAAGACCAATAACTGCTATTGGAGTCTGTGCAGACTGAGAAATGTCAAAAAGATTATAGAGGAGTGTTTGGTTTCTATGATGAGCAAAAAGATCAAATTCATCTAATACGAAGATCACTGGACAACTACTAGCCCGGTTACCTAAGATAAAAAAGAGTTTTATATTAACAAGCAATTATATTAACCTTTGTTAAATTTCCAAACTATTTACTACATTTCAGTTTTAAAAACTTAATTCAACAGCCCAGCTGGTGTGGCTCAGTGGTTGAGCATCCACCTATGATCCAGGAGATTGTGGTTAGATTCCTGGTCAGAGTATGTGCCCGGGTGGTGGGCTTGATCCCCAACAGGGTGTGCAAGAGGCAGCTGATCAATGACTCTCTTATCATTGATATTTCTATCTTTCTCTCCCTCTCCCTTCTTCTCTGTGAAATCAGTGAAAATATATTTTAAAAAACAAAACACTTAACGAACAAATACTGATAACCTGCTTTGGGAGGGCACTTACCAATGCATGTACATTTATTCAACGAAAACAAATTATTCACAGGGCAAGATAGTTTTAAGTATCTCAGTCTAATTACTAGTAGTTTACTGATGAAAAATTAAGAATATCATTTAAATAACTAGAGACTATTGTTTTTAAAATTATGTACAGAGTCCTTCTATCATCAGAAAATTTACAAAGATCTTTTAATACCTACACAGACCAAATCACTTTGAGATTAAATATAGAGTCACTAAGTTTAAAACTATTACTACAGAAAAGACTAGTTTACTTAGTAGAAATGCAAAATATATCTTCCCATAGAAATAATTTTTACAAACAGTTGTTAGACTAGAAAGTTCAATTAAAACCACTATAATTCCTTCTAACCACAATTTTAACATTGCAACAGGTAAAGTTCAACATGACTCTGAATTCATTTTTTCGCATCACAACAGAATCTTCCTTAGCAGAAGAATCACTCTTACCTTAAGGTTTGGGGCTTTATATTTGCATAAACAAGTGAAAAGAAAATATGATAAAGGGACATTCACTCCACTTCAACATATAATGAAACATTTAACACTAACCTAAATGGCATAAAAACTACAAGGACTGCTCAAAAGTCTAGAAATAGGCTTGGCCTACATAATTAGTACTGGTAAAATATAGCATTACGTATCAATGGGGGAAAAGTGGTTTATTCAAGGTAAGAACTCCACTTTATACCTTATCAAAATACATTTTAGCCAGATTATTAGTTACAAGTATATGTTTTAGATTAAAACATAATTGAATACCTTTAAAATCTGAACAGAAACAATTGTGACTATAGAGAAGAGAAACATGAAGTGCAAGAATTCCATAAATAAATACAAGCTAAACATCAAAATAAGGCAAAGAACCAACAGGAAATATATGAAACAGGAAATATCATTAGTCAATAAAAATAGAAAATGATCATCATTACCAAAATTAAGTAAATTAAACTAAATAAATAATTTTACTATTACATAGACAAAAATAAAAATTAATAATTGTTTTGGAAATTGTGAAGAAAAAGGTACTCTGAAATATGTTTAGGAAATGGATCTTCTAGCATAGTTTCATAATATTCCTTTTAAAATGTACCTTTTAATTGAGAATTCTACTCACTAAAATTTACCCCAGGAAATATCTGGACGGCTATCTAAGAATTTCTTCCTAATTTAATTATACAAAATTAGAAATAAAAGCCCATAACTGGTGGTTAATAAGATATAACTTATATTTTTAACTATAGTTAATTTCTATTTATAAAATGAAATATATGAGAACCATAAAAATGAAGAAGCAGCTCAGTCTTTACTGACATGGAAAGATGCTTACAACATACTGTTTGTAAATGAAAAGATGAAGACCACACAATACGGAAAATGAGTTTATTCTCATAAAAATGATCAACTTCAATGATATACTGCAGGTGAGTAAAGATATGAAACTAAAGTTAGTTGGGATAATCACTATTATAGTGTGGGGATACACTATTATTTTATTCTTTATCATATTTCTTTATTAAATTTTTTGTAAAAGCATGTTATTACCTTTATAATCAGGGAAAAATAAAGCTAAACAAATATCTTTGATACTGTTAAATATGTTAATATTTACCTTTTTTCAAAGCTTCCAGAATAAATGAAAGATTTTCAGCAAAGCTTCCCTGAATAACAAAAAAACATACTGTGACTAGGAGTTTAGTGAAATAAGAAACAGAAGGGCTATCTGGCCCTTGGATGTTATATAGACACACTCTGTATCTGACTCTTAGACATTATATAGACTATCTATTTTTATAGTAAATTAGTCATTGGCCAGATCTCTATGCTTATAATTTAAAACTTGAATATAAAAGCAAAGATGGTACAGCACTGAAAATGACATGTGTCATGTTCAAAACAAACTGTTAATGTCATTTAAAGGTAGGTGTGTTTTTTAATCCTTACCCAAGGATATGTTCATTGATTTTAGTGAGAGAAGGCGAAGGGAAGAGAGAGGGAGAGAGAGAAAGAGAGAGGAAGGGAGAGAGGGAGAGAGGGAGAGAGGAAGGGTGAAAAGGTGGGAAATAAAAGGTGAGAGAGAGAGGGAGAGAGAGAGAGGGAGAGAGAAAGAGAGAGAGAGAGAGATACCTGGCCACTTCTCAGTTCTTCACCAGCAGCAAGAGAAAAGTGTGTGAGTGACATAGTCTTCAGGTGACTCTAGACCCATCCACCATTAATTGCAACTGAATGAGGGACCCCAAAGTAGAACCAGCTTGCTGGGCGTGGCAACCCACAAAACCGTGAGACATAATGATAAATTATTGTTTTAAGTCATTAAGTTTTGGTGGACTATAGATAACCAATAGTACCATGGTTTTCTTTCTTTCTTTTTTCTCTTTCTAAATTTCCATAAATAAAGTATATTATTTACTAATAATAAAAATATCAAAATATCATTTACTTAGAATATCCTTTTAGAGTAGTTAGATTTAATAGTCTGTGAGTACAATAATAGTACTCATCTTGATTTTTAGGTGTAACTCTGCCAAGTTTACTCCATGTCAGTTTTATGTATGGACAACTGGTCTCATCATATCAATTGAGACATAACTCAGTTCTGATATGACTTCACCTCTATTGTGATCGGTTAAGGTTCTAGTGTTGACATGTCTCTGATTAAAAGATTAAATTAATGTCTCATTTTACTCTTTAATATTAATGGATGGANCATCAGTGGGTTGCCTCCTGTACACACCCTGACCAGGAATTGGACCTGCAACCTTTTTGGCGTATGGGATAATGCTCCAACCAACTGAGCCACCCTACTGGGGCTAAAGGTAGTTTTCGAGAGCTGCTATATTATAAATATGGTCAGAGAACTAGAAGTCCACTGCACTTTGTATCTTCAAACACATCAGGCTCTTGCAAGTCTCAAATTAATTTCTACCACTAAAAAAAGGACCATGAATTTAAATGAGATCCAAAAGGAAAAGGGAGAAGAAATTTGCTTCAAATATTAGATACTATACTAGTGCATCTTTATTCAAGAGCATATTACAGAATTTGTATGTATCATATCAAATTTGGCTGTGCTTACTTGGAGCACAGCCAAAACATTTTTGGATACAACTTAAATATTCTAGATGAAAATTAATAGAGTAGCAGATGCATTATCCAGATGTTACAGCTTGTGGATAAAAGCTCTGGTAAAATATTTTTTCATTAAAGTCATTAATTTATACTTCAGATTTTTTAATTTAAAGAAACAGCTGACTTTAAATTTGAGGATATATAAAGGAGAAAAGAACCCACTTATTTGTTTCCTAATGAAGAGAATATAAAATAGCTAAGTTTTGCCCTGGCCGGTTTTGCTCAGTGGTTAGAGCATAGGCCCGTGGACTGAAGGGTCCTGGGTTCGATTCAGGCCAAGGGCACATAATTCAGTTGCACGCTCAATCCTGGGGCTTGGTCGGGGTGCATGCAGGAGGCAGCCAATCAATGTGTCTCTCTCACATCAATGTTTCTCTCTCCCCTCCACTCTCTCTGAAAAGCGATGGATTATGTCCTCTGTGAGGATTAAAATAAATAAATAAATACAATAGCTAAGTTTTCAAGAGCTTCCATATATTTTGTGATGACTGCATACTGTCAAGTCAATACTATTTCCAAGGTAGGCAGGGCTAGAGGTATTTACCATAAAATAAACAAAGGCTCATAGACAATTTTTTGGGAAATAAGTGGTCAAATTTACTCAAAGGTTGCTCATCTTTTGGGTATTTTTTAAAAGACTACTGCGCCTGATATTAAATCTATACCTATATAAATACATATGTTCATATTGTAAGTACATATTTATATAAATATATGTAAGTATGTATATATGTATAAGAATATACAAATATGCTATAAGCGTATCAAAACAGAGAGGCTCTGGATTGAGGTGATTCAGGTTCTTAATGTTCAGCCTTTGTTATTTTATGACTTTAGATAAGCTATTTATGCTCTCTGAGCTTCAGATGCCTATTTTATATAATGTAGAAGTCAAATTAATAATATTTCTATGTCATAATTATGGTAACAATAGTGATGACTAGGATGATAAACAACTGTGCCTTTTTATTATTTCATGTGAATCCAGTATGAATAGGTCCATTTACGGAAGTTAGAAACAACAATCTACATCAATTAGAAACCACAAGCCAAACTGAGCCTCTATAATAGTAACTCTCCTTCACCAAGCAGGCAACTATTTTCAACGTTAAATTCTAACAGAAGGTAGAACATTAATAGAAGGAACATTCTGAACTTGCACTTCAGAGACCTGCAGACAGTGAAAGAGTAACACATGATTGGCTCAACTTTTTAGAGATAATTACAAAAGAATGAGGTACTAAATGCTAGGAGGCTTTCACAACAATGGCTGTGTCACTGCAGTGGAGAGCACGAAGTTTAGAGATCAGAGCGACAGTACTGCATGATTACCAGGGGCCAGAAAATGAACTTGGAATGGACATAACCCACTTCAAATGCGTAAGTCGTATAAAGATAAGTTATTTCATCATGAAACTTAGGGCAGTTGAAAATTAACTTAATCATTCTTCCCTTGAGCCCTATAAATCAAGTGATAGGTAAAAAGATTTAAAAGTTTCAAAACATTTCTAATCGGTTTATTTTAAGTTACTGCTATTGACTGTCCTAGATTCCAAGCTATTACAATAGTGAGGTATGGGTAAGTTTCTGAAAACATTTTAACACATTGTATGCGGGAAACGTATTTATACGTTTTACGTTGACTGGTAGTAGAGCGCCCAATAAAAACTACCCGCAAACAATTTAATAGTATGAGATAACTGACATCTGTATAGTATATTACCACTGAGTATATTTTAAAACATAAATGTTTAATGCTTATTTTGTCTGCAGAATAAGTCAGTGAAGTAAGTTTAAGATGATGCCTATTTAACAGACGAGAAATCTGAATCACAGGCGTATTCATTAATCATTAGTCATGGGCACCAGGTTGAAAGGCAACACTAAAATCCACATTTTTTGTAGTTTCAAATTCAGCAAATTTTCCCAGTACTCCCATGCTACCCAAGTCTCAGGAGACTAGAAATAGACTGCTAGAGTATAGTATTTTTTAAAACACTAATCTATTGTCAAAGACAGAATCAGAATATTTATCTTACAAATAAACAAACTATCTATATAAACCTGGTTTTGATAAATAGATGCATCCTAGTACATTACACATTTTTATGACAAGAATCTTACATATTTCAATTTAGAATCTCTAAATCCTTTATAGCTTTCCAAAAATATAAAGCTATAATATAGACCTTCCTTTATGCCCAGTTAATAAAAGAACAGAAATGATACGTACAAAAACTTTATCTCCAACTACATTTTCCAGATTTAACTGCCTTGTGATTTCCTTTAGAGCTATTTTATCATTGATCTGCAGCAGTCCTGAAATAAAGCGCATTTAAAAGTATTTAGTTAAAATGAAATATGTATTTGACACAGTACAGATTATTTCCCGGTCAAGGAAATTTGCTAATGCTTTTTAAATTCAACTGGAAAAAAAAGTAAAAAAATGTGAGTTTATATTTCATTTTACAACTGAGCAATGAAGACATCTGGTAGATTCAAAGAATAATCTTCTTTGGGGTTAGGGTTATTTCAAAAAAAAAAGGAAGAAAAGCAAAAACCAAAAGTTTTTATGTGTTCCCTTTATTTATTTACTGTTTCAGTTTATAAAAATATTGTCTATGGTATGCTAAATTAAGAGTTGCTAAATATAAATCTAGTTTTAAAAATATTATTAAGAATCCAAATTTAAAACATACAAGTGAATTTAGTTTCATAATATAAAAAGCTCACATGATTTATATCATTCCCAATGGCAAAGTAATGACAGACTTACCATTTAGGTGAACTTGTAATACATTTTCCCTCACGTCTTCCACTTCCATCAGTTCTTTCAAAGCATGGTTTATTAACTAAATAATATTAAAAAGTTTATAAAATATTTAATAATAGGTAAAAATGATAAGCCCATATTTTTAAACTGTGAATAATGGAAACAGAATATGAACAGGTTGCCATTTTAAATTAACAAATACAACTGCAAGTTCTTTGGTTCCCCGTTAGTTGCTAGATATACTGAGAAAAAGACCTTATTACAGAAACTTAGTGCTTGCAATGAAAAATTACTACTAATGCCCAGCTGGGCATGGATCAGCGGTTGAGCGTCGACCTAGGAGTCAGGAGATCAGGGTTTGATTCCCGGTCAGGGCACATGCCCGGGTTGCGAGCTGCAGCCGATCAATGACTCTCTCATCATTGATGTTTCTATCTCTCTCTCTCCCTTCCTCTCTCTGAAATTAATAAAGATTTTTTTTTTAAAAAGAAAAATTACTAATAATATACGCAGAAAGTGTTATATACCTTAAACTGTTCAATTATAAAGTTTCACATTTTTATAATTACAGGCTTATATTCCATATTCACATTCTTTATTATATTTTTTGAATTGTGACATCTTACCACTCATTAAAATATCATATACATCTCTTCATAGTAATACTGCACATTTTTTTAAAATTTGAAAATGAAATTAAGGGAAAAAAAGCTTTTTAAAAGGAAGATAATGAGGGACTATTCCTTCTAATATTAAAATAGAAGAGTACTATCATAAAATAAATGGTACAGGAAAAGCTGTGGGACATATACACCATGGAATACTACGCAGCTGTAAAGAAGAAGGATCTCGTACCCTTTGGGACCGCATGGATGGACCTGGAGAAAATTATGCTAGGTGAAATAAGCCAGTCAGAGAAAGACAAACATCACATGATCTTGTTTATATGTGGAATCTAAAGGACTTAATAAACTGATGAACAGAACAGATTCAATGACATGGAAGCATAGATCAGACTGACAAATGTCAGAAGGATGGAGGGGGGTGGGTGGGTGGAGGGGGAGAGAGTGACCAAAGAATTTATATGCGTATATGCATAACCCAAGGATACGGACAATGGTGGGGAGAGGGACTGGGGAGAGGGATGGGAGAGAAAAAAAAAAAGAATGGAGTGTCAAGCAAAAAATAAAAATAAAAAAATGGTACAGGAAAACAGAGCAAATATACCAAAAAAAAAAAAAAAAATTAGTTAGGATGGTATTCAACAAAGTCACTGGGACAACTGGTAAACTATTTTGAAAAACAAAATACTATTTGTTTTTGCAGTAGTCTATCCTCTGTCACTATAACATGTTTGTGCAATAGGGAGAAGCAAATATCCTCATTTAAAATTATTAGGTTTCACAATAGGATATCAAACATAATAGCTATTCCTTGTTTATCTGCAGTTTTTAAAGCATATGGAATTCTACCTCAGAACATAGGTAGCCCAGGTCATATACATATAAAAGTCTGGCTAAGATGTGAAATTCTTTCTAAAGAACTGTCAGAAGATGAGTTGGTGCTTCTCTACCTTTGGGTCAAGTCAGACCTTTATTATAAGAGTTTCTCCCCAGGTGATACAAACTTGGGCTCTCAAGATATGGCCTTTGCCATATTTTCTTAGTAATCTGCTATGTTCTTGCCCCCAACTCTTGATATTTTATTTATATAATATTTATATATCCCTTGCTCTGATATTATGATTTAAATTATTTTATGTTTGATGAATTGCTCAAAACCATTTCAAATTCTTTACAGAATGAAACAAGGTTTAAAATTGTTCCTTCATTTTACATATGCATAAAGAGAGTTATAAAAGGTTTACAGAGCACTCTTTCCACTGAATTTACGTTAAGAATCAAGTTGTTCTGATTTGCCTAGATCAATTCACAGCTTTTTTATTGGGGATAGAGGAGGTGGTCTGAAACAATAATTTAAATGTATTAGCAAGTAAGTTTTCAAATAATTTTTGTTCTAATCTGAATATTGCTAAAATTTACTGTATAATTAACTAGGTAACCAATTGTATAATTTCAGTCAATTTTTTTCATGGACACAATGTCATCCTTTCAAATATTTTTCAACTACATAATATACTAAAAAAATTTGGCTGGTTATTAATATTACAGCAACCAGCATAACCAATTCAGCTACTCCATTTCCACAGTTTTTGTAGCCAAAAATTAATTTTACAAATGTACTAGCAGAGCTTGCTTAGATTTGCAGCATCTAGGGATTTTTATTCTTCCCTACTATTACTGTTCCCAAGTACTTTAATAAACACAACATCCGGCAATATGCAAATAGAATATCAATTAGAAGAAACATCCTGTTTCACCACCTAGCAAATTTCTTTGTCTACAATAATTTCTATATAGAAGAGAGTATTTTCCAGGGTCCAATCTGTCATTTGGAACTATACATATATATGTATTTTTAAAAATGTTTGAAATACAACAAACCACACTATCTCTAATCTTTATCAATCAACTGTAGAATGTTTCCCCCCACTACCCAAAGTCAAATCATCTTCCATCACCATATATTAGGTCCCCTTCACCCCTCAGCCCCTTAATCAACTGTAGATTTTGAATTTTTGTATTTCAGGCCAAAGTAATGCCTTAAATATACTATAATCTTATTTTTAAATTTGAATTTACATAATTACATTAATGAGTTCTTGTCTAAGAATAGCCTATTTTATATCTTAGGATAGTCCCACATAAAGCAAATTATAAAAGTAACACAGTTAAACAATGCTCCTCAGCTATCAATATTAGAGTGCAGCAAAAATAAATTAAATTATACCACAAAAGCTTAATAACTGGACACTCTAATCCTAAGAAAGGACAAAAAGAAACGAAAGGGAAGAAATACTCAAAAATAAAATTATTCTTTAGTGAGGACCTAAATTGATAAAGTTTGTGTAATATCAGTTAATTTTATGATCAATACTTAAAGACATAGCCTGTGAATAACTAACGTAATGAGACAAGAAAAGTAAATAAAAGGTATATATGGAGATAGAGAAGGGATAAACAAAACTTTGTTTGCAGTTAACATGACTGTGTATGTAGAAAACCACAAAAAATAGGCAAGTTCCTGGAACTGATAATCAATTAAGGCAAGGTCGGAGGATATAAGGTAATACACAGAAGTGATTTGCTTCCCTATATATCAGCAATTAACACCTGGAATATGAAATTAAAAACTTAATACTATTAACATTAACACTAAGAAGTTTAAAGACTTAGGTATAAATCTAACAAAAGATCTATATGAAGAAAACCACAAACTCTGATGAAAAGCCTAAATAAATGGATAAATGGAGAAATATACCATGTTTACGAATGTGAACATTCAATATAGTTAAACCAATTCATCTCAACATGATCTACAGATTCAACACAAAATCCCACAGTTGAACACAAAAATTCCCAGTATTTTGTAGTTATTAATGAATTGATTCTATTCATAACTCATTGTCACAGACAACAGTGTGGTGAAGGCCTGGAGGGCAAGAGGGGTGGATGCAGGGTGGAGGGGATCAATGGGGGGAAAGGGGGGGGCTATGTAATACTTTCAACAATATAGGTAAATTTTAAAAATATTAAATAAATTGATTCTGAAGTTAACACAGAAATGCAAAGTACCCAGGACAGCCAAAAACAACACTGAAGAAGCAAAAAGTTGAAAGATTGACACTATAGAACTTCAAGACTTACTATAAAGCTATAGTAATCAAGACAGTATAGTGTGATGCCCGTGCAGGAAACAGACAAACAGATAATGAAAACAGAACAGAGAGCCCAGAAAGAGACGCATACAAATACAGTCAACTGATCATTAATAAAAAAGCAAAAGTAATTCAATAAAGATAGTCTTTTCAATAAATGGTGCCGGAATTGGATATTCATAAGCAAAAAATAAATCTAGACACTGACTTTACATTTTCCACAAACATTAATTTGAAATGAACCCTAGATGTAAATGTAAATGCAAATGCAAAGAACTATAAAACTTCTAGAAAATAACATAGGAGAAAACCTACACAGCCTGAGTTTTGGTGATGAAGTTTTAGATGCAACACCAAAATCACAATCCATAAAAGAAATAGTTGATAAGTTGGACTTCTTTTAATTAAAAACTTTTCTTCCAAGAACATTGCTAATAAGATTAAAGACAAACAAAAGACTGGGAGAAAACATTTGCAAAACGTATCTGATATATCCAAAATATACAAATAACTTTTAAAATATATCAGTAAGAAAAGAAACAACCCAATTTAAAATTATCATAAAGATATACAGATGAAAAATAAGCGTACAAAAAGATGCTCAATATCATACACCATTAGAGACCTGCAAGTAAGAAAAGCAATGAGATACCACTACATATCTACTAGAATGGCTAAAGTTTTAAAAACTGACAATATCAAATCCTGGTGAAGACACATAGCAAAAGAAACTCTCATTCAATGATGGTAAGAAGCAAAATGGTATAACCACTTTGGAAGACAGTTTAGCAACTTCTTACAAAGCTAAACATAGGATTATCATATGATGCCACAACTGGTGTTTCTAAGTATTTACTCAAATAAGCAGAAGACTTACTTCAGCATAAAATCTTGCACACAAGTGTTTAGAGTAGCTTTATTCAAATTGCCAAAAATCAGAACCAACCAAGATGTCCTTCAATAGGTGAATGGACAAACAGTGGTACATTCATAGAACAGAATGCTATTCAGCAATGAAAAGCTATGAGCCGTGAAGGCATGAAATAACCTGGAGGAAGCTTACACGCTTGTTGCTAAGTGGCAGAAGCCAGTATGGAAAGGTTCTACAATGTATGATTCCAACTACACGACATTCTGAAATAGGCAAAAGTACGGAGGCAGTAAAAAATCAGTGGATGGTAGGAGCTGGGGTAGGAGGGTAAACGGATAGCGCACAGGGGATCTTTGAGAACTATGAAGTTATCTTGTATGACACTGAGTGGATATATGACATTACGTATTTGTTAAAACCTGTAAAGTTTGCAACACAAAGAGGGAACCTTAATATAAACTATGGACTTTAGTTAATGATAACAAATCACTATGAATTGACTGTAACCAACGTACCACGCTAAGTCACTATGTTAATAACGGGAAATTATGTGGGGGGGTAGGTGGAGAGGTAGGGGAGGGTAATTTGGGAACTCTGCAGTATCTGCTTAATTTTCTGGTAAAAAATTATCTATTTTAGCCCATTTTCTAATGAAATGGAGTACAGTTTTAATTTGTATTTAGTTATACATTTTTATAAGTGTTTACTAGTTCTATTTCTTTTTTTCTGAATTTTCTCCATGCCTTTAGTGACAAACTTCCAAGGAGAAGTTCAGAATAAATTCAGTCAGCTGCTCAAGTTGTACTTTTAGGCTTGACATTTTGACTTACAAATCACTGAGATTCAACTTTCCTGTTATAATGCCATTTTGTTTCAAGATACAGTTTGCCATGGAATAGACCTAATGTGCTAATTTCCTATATCTCATTTTCTTCTGTACTGACACAAGAGTATCACCACAAAGCTTCTTGAATAATTAAAGTATTATCTAAAAATGTTCTTCAAACATTAGTATGATGACGTGTTTTCCAGATATAATAAAATAATGAAAACTGGGCAGGGTGGAGGGGGTCAGGAATTATCTTTTACAGAAGAAAAGATATAAATTCACATTAAGAGGATTTGCAGAGTATCAGTTTTTATGACCAACATTTAGATATAATCTGTGAAATTTTCACATTGCTGAGATAAACTCCGCAGCATCCAGATAGGGAAAAATCATACACAAACTCAAAACAAGTTAGCTGTGGTGGTTGGTCATCAGTGACAGTCACCAAGTATTCTAATTGACCTCCCGTCTAGGCACCTAAGAAGAATGCACTTCCTTGCACAGATCTATATTCCCAATTTATATATTTCAAACAATACTGGAAATGGGTGATAACAGTAAACTCCTAAAAGTTTTCATTTCCTCATCTTACATAATGTAGAGTCAATACATATTATTAAAAAAAATAAAAGCAGCCCTGGCTGGTTTGGCTCAGTGGTTGGAGCACTGGCCCACTGGCTGAAGGGTCGCAGCTTCAATTCCAGCCAAGGGAATGTACCTCAGTTGCAAGCTCGATTCCAGCCTATCAATATGTCTCTCCTACATCGCTGTTTCTCTCTCCCTCTCCCCACACCCCCCCACTCTCCCTGAAAAGCAATGGAAAAAATATTCTCAGGTGAAGATAAATAAATAATAATAAAAGCATAACTTTACTCCTGTTTTACATAATTTACTGAATACATAATTATAAGACATAATTTTACCTCTATAGAATAAAAATGTATGTTAGTGTGAAATCTAAATTTATTGCATGGAATGTAGCAGAAAACAGATTTTACACAGCCCAATTTAACTTTACTAAAATTAAATAGTATAGTAATTAACTTTCAATGTGACGGACATAATTTGTCTCATATGCTGAATAAAGAATGTGAAAAGAGAAAATGAGGGGAGAGAAGCAAGAGTATCTTTTTGAGGTAACTAAGCAAATATGATGACAAGGGAAAGTAGAAGACAAATCAAGAAGATGTGAAAGGACATATGAAAAATTTGTTTGAGTTAGGGTTAAACAATAAACAATAAAATAGTAAGAGAAAAAAAGAATGCATGGGGTGATAGTTACCTTTCTATAAACAGGGACAAAACCTACCTTACTTGGTTAGTGTAAAGAATCAATGACAGAACATAGATAAAAGGCACAAGGTACATGTCCAATAAATGCTAGTTTGCTTTTTCCACTAGCAATCACTAATTCAAGGACAAAAGACTATGATTAAAAAAACATCAATTAAAATTTGTCACTGTGGGGAAAAATAAGGTAAAAAAGATATGTTTAACACAAATATATCATCCCAACTTTATAAAGCTCTGCATGTCTTCAATGATTTAAGGGAAAAAGCAAAATGCTAATAATGAAACACATTTCAATGTTGTCTATAGGAATCATCACAAGCCTACCAAATCAAACACCATAAATAAATAGCTTTACCATGGTCTTTCCTGATCCTCGGGGTCCAATAATGAGAACAGAATTACTTTCTCCATGGATAGCAGTTCTTTTTAGCAGCTCAATTAAGTGTCTGAAATGACATAAATAGGTTCAAATTTAATAAGATGAAATACTTTCTAGGTATTATTTTTTAAAAGCTAAATATAAATATGTATAGAAACAAACACTCCTTTATTCTTTCCCTCTAGCCACTTGGCTTATGCTCTAAATAGTTCTACACAGAACTAGAATGTTGGCTAATACTGATTCTCTGGAAACCTCAAGAGGAAATCAAGTAAGTTTGAAATACCTTGGTCTTTATTATAGTATGGGATAAGAGACAACTGTGGCAGCTTTTAGGACCTTTTACTACACAGCTGGCTGCCAAGTATTGAAAGCTAAATTTAATACAAGAAGCACAGAATTATCTCCATAATACCAGATAACAGAAAAAACACAAGGCTAAAAGTTAAAAGGCTTTCTCATTATGGAAATATTTATATCTCTCTTGCTTCATGATATTCAATGTTTCCATACTCAAAGCAAAATATTTTGCTCATTAGCATTAAGATAAAATTTGTGTATGGTAATTTCTGAAAACCCTAAAGTGCATCTGTAAGTCTACTTATAACAATCAAGGGAATAGCTAAACTTACTTATATTGTACTTGTACTCCAAATAGGTTACTATGTGAACTCTGATGACAAAATCTTTCACGTAAAATTCTTTGTACCTGATGAAAATAAAGTGAATAAGCATAAATAAAAACATTATACATTCAATCAAAAATGAATGAGAATATACATTTATAGCAGTCAGAATTAGGTATTAATGAGTCAATTCAACCCTCCCTAAATAAGTTTTCTTCAAGAACTCTGACACCATTTTCATGAGTTATAAAATCATCAGTTCTTTTCATCTTAAGTCCCAGAGAAAAGATGAGAAGTTACTTGTGAAGGTTTTAACAAGAGAATTACTTATTTTAGCTGCATCAGCAATTGAAGGGTTATTTTAATGCATGTGAATGAATGAATACTTCACTTTGTATAACATGTCAGCCAAGGAACGAAGACAGGAGAAAATCTACTAATGTAATCTAATCTCGTAATGCTCATGGCACCACACGTCAATCTCTAGAAGCCAACACATCTAAACTGGTTTAGCTCAAGCTCTACCAATCTGCACCTTCCATAAAGGTCAGGATTCTAAGGAAATAAGAGAAGTTTAAAAGTCCATATAGTTATTGAGGACCTATTAGATACAGAGCACAAGATTACTACAAGAACATGATCCATGACTTAAAAAACACTACAAATATACTGGAGAGAAGTAACACATTCAAGAAACAACTTGCATAAAAGTAGTAACTGCATATAAGGAAATGCTCAATTACATGGAAGAAACCACATTCATCTAGGCTATAAAATAAAAAAATCATTGGATTAAATGGAGATCTTGTAAAGAGCTAAATTTTGAGATCATCCTAGAATGAAGGACAAAGACTTAGTTGTAAAAAATTGTGTCAGAAAATTTAGCACATTCTTTAAAAAGGTGGACCATTAAAGACATTTCTTTTCAGCATCTACTGCTAATGCCTGGGACACAAACCTTAGGAGGCTATATCAGATTTGTCCCCATCAACATAAACAAGAAGCCTCCAAGATTATTTACTTTTCCCAAACTGAGAGTATGGGGCTGATCCTCATGTACCAAAGAGATAAATGAGTTCTCTTTATATGCACTAGAGCACAAGCAAAGCAAATTATTCACTGGGGATAAAATAACCCACACTTATCATTATAGAGGAAGTGGAAAGAATAAGAGGATTGGTGCCAGAAGAACATTTTTAAGTTGACCTTTTCTAAACCTTAATTTTTAAAAAAAATCTATAAAATAAGACACCAACACTTTTCTGACAAGCCTGTTTTTCAGATTAAATAAGGGCAGATGTCTCTAACACAATATAGGTATTGGATGGGTAATAGCTGATACCTGTAAAGCACTTAAATGAGCATATATGGAGACTCAACAAGTCATAATGTTCAGTCATCTACCTAGATAAGACCACTAGAAATCAAAAGACAAACCTCAGTCCTTTTCTTTCTGCACTGAAGTCTATTAGAGAGGGAATAATTATGTATACAATATAAGACAGGGATAAAGTGAAGTGAAGCTTCAGTAAATAGTCAGAGGCTCAAAAATCCCAAAGTGATCTGAGGTAGAGGTTAAGGGTGTATATATGTATAGAAATCAATGAAACTGGCCCTGGCTAGTGTGGCTCAGTTGGTTGGAGCACTGTCCCATACACTGAAAGGTGGTAGGCTCAATTTCCAGTAAGGACACATACCCAGGTTGCAGGTTTGATCCCTGGTCAGGGCATGTTTGGGAGGCACCTGATCAATGTTTCTTTCATACCAATGTTTCTCTCTCTCTCTTTCCTTTTCCTCTCTCTAAAATCAATAAAAAACATATCCTCAGGTGAGGATTAAAAAAAATAAGAAAAAAGAAATTAATGAAGCTGTACATAAATTTGTGCACTTTATGAAGATATGTAAACTGTACATGTTAAAAAATTTTTGGCACAGAGTTAAAAGATTTTCCTTCAAAAATAATAAAAGGTGTTATAAAGGGGTGCCAATACCATTTGGTTTAATTTAAAAATAATGTAGTTCTGATGACCGAGCCTGATAAATAGAAATGCCAGGGTAGATATACCATGCCCATTCTCTACTAGACTCCTTAACAGAGATATGTATGGATACATACTTAGCACTTGAAATACAGTATGCACCTATATTAAATGTTCATGATAAAAACACCATTCTAGGAATATAAGTGAACTTCTTTGATGTGATAAAGGGCATCTATGAAAACCTACAACTAATATAATGTTCCATGGTTAAAGGCTGAATGCATTTCCCCAATACCAAAAACAAAACATGAATGTGTGCTCTTGCCACCTTTATTCAATATTGCACTGAAGGTTCTAGCCAGAGCAATTAGATAAGAAAAAGGAAGGAAAGGCATCCAGACTGAAAAGGAAGGAGTAAAGCTATTTCTATTTGTAGATGACATGATCTTATATATAGAAAATCCTAGGGAATAAACTAATAAACTATTCATACTAATAAATGAGTTCAGCAAGGTTGCAGGTTATAAGATTAATATATAAAAATCAATTGCATTTAGATACATTAACAATGAACAAGTAAAAATAAAATAATTTCATTTATAACAGGTTCAAAAGAAATAAAAAACACAAGAATACATTTAACCAAAGAAGTACAAAACTCAGAAGATAATGTTAAACTAAATAGAAATCCGAACCACATTTAAGAAGGCATGTCAAGTGAGGATCCCAACCATCCAAAGACTTAAAAAGGATGAAACTAAGAAGCATAAGACATCCTGCCCCTCGGAATGGAAAAACTGATCCCTCCTAAGTGCCAAGGGGAGAATTCAAGTTAAGAAGATGACTATTTCTCTGAGGACCTTTGCATGGTAACAGAGTGTGAGATTAATGAAAATATATACTAACCTGTGAAAGGTACTCAGTATGTATTAAATTGTTACCCTTTGATTTACGACTGTTCATTTCAACAAACTGAAATCCTAAAATAAAAATAAAAATTTTAAGCATAAATATAATAAAGACTACTGGCTTAAAGAAAAGTATTTAAGAATTTACCTTCATAGAATCAAATTGAACACACATTTAAAACATGAAAAATGTTCACATTTCTCAAACTTTAAATTCTCAGCTGAACCTATTGTGGTAATCATTTCACAATTTATGTAAATCAAACCATCATGCTATATGCCTTAAATTTACACAGTGGACGTATGTCAATTATCTCAATAAAATTGGGGGGGAAATTTCAGTGGCTCTTTGTCTAAGTGTAGGCTTATTTGACACTCCCATACCACACTTTAAAAAAATTTTTCTGGTGATGGAAGGAGACTTGACTTGGGGTGGTAAACACACTATACAATAGTATACATGTGATATATTGTAGAATTGTATACCTGAAACCTATGTAATTTTATTAACCAATGTCACCCAATAAATTCAATGAAAAACACACACTTTAAATGTGGCTCTTACAGACCACTACTCCTACCTACATTTCCCTTCAATCTGCTACTCACCTTCCTTTCTTTATCTTTTAAAAACAAATAAAAATAAAAACTAGGTGCTTCCTTAATATAGAATGTTTCTCCCCACATCCACACTACAGAATCATCCCTTCCTAAAGCCTTTGCTGTCTTATCAATCATAGTAATTAGAGTAGGTAAATAAAATGCCTCTTCTGTAAATATCCATAAGTGACACTATCTCTCTTTATCCATAATCAAACTATATTAAACAAAATTGTCTATTTAATTGCCAGAGTCCCCAAATTGAAAATATTTAAAAATTCAAGCATTTTAACATAATGCCCCAAATAAAGTTGGCAATGATAACTGAAATGAAAAATATACATACTAATGAAAAATAACTTAAAATTCTCCTTGAGGGAAACATACTCATTGATAAACACCTTCAGCTGAAAGATCTATCTTTCTTAGCACTGATTTTCTATAGGAGTACTTTACTAGTCAAGTAATAATAGCTTAAGCAGTGTTTACTTATGTAACAAGAATTGTTGTTACAAGTGCTTTGCATTTTATTAACTCATTTAATCTTCAAAATAACCATATGGAATAACTACTATTACAATACCCCTTTAAGATTAGAAGACATAAAAAGTTAAGTAACTTGATCCAAATCAAACAGCAGTTAAGTCGTATAGCCAGGATTTGAACCCAAAGCTATACTTAGTTATATGTAATAAAATAATAATTATCATATATAATTATATACTGGGCTATAGATGTTACTTACTTAGCCAATTGTTTTAAAAGGTACAAATTTCAATAATTTGAAGGAAGATAAGCCATTGTGACAACATATTTTCTATTCATATTTATTAATTTCACTACAGACTACTAGACGCCAAGCCTTGGAACGCTGTTAAGTGCTAACAAGACAGCAGCTGAGCAAGGACTTGACAGATAGAGAGCAAGCATATCTGTCTCCCCCTTAAGTATGAGCCATGTAGCCAAGGACTAAAAGCCCAGAGGGCTTCCGGCTCCAGGTTTCCAAATAGAAACTCAAGAAAGGAATACTTTACTGATGTCTTGTCCCTTAAGAATCTACTTTCTAGGAGAAAAATGGTTTTCTCAGTTGCCCTAAGACACCTTCCAGCAGTCTTTTTATGTCTACACAAGGCACTCTGCTTGAGAATCTTTACATTAATTATTTTTTTATTCTACTTACTTTAATTATTTTTTCCTTAAATGAGTGTTGTGTGTGGGGAGAAACCCTTTTAGCAACATGAAATAATATCCTCACTCTGGTTTAAGATACTCTTGACTTTGAAAAGGGTCTACAAGTTGACATCTGAAATTACAGAAGACTGGGTTCAAATCCTGGAACAACTGTCCCCTAAACAATAAGAACTATTTAAAAAGTGGGAGAAAACTTTTGCAATATACCTTATTTTTTAAGAGCTATATTAGCTATTTCACAGAATTATTGGAATTAAAAAACATTTCCCCTCATTTTATGGATTAAGAATACATTGCTCAGAAAAGCTAAGTAAAATGCCTGTGGTTGCAGGATAGATGTTTAATCTGCCTCCTTGCAACAAATATGTCAGGTAAGACATTATTAAAAGTGTACATTTTTCTTCATTTGGGGATCATCCATGAAAGAAACATATGCACTCTTTTAGTGTCTAACCTACATAAATTTTGACTGTAAATTAAGTCTTAGTCAAGATTTTAATATATCTTGCCTCTGCAAGTAATAGTCAAATCTCCACTCTATAACAAAGAATAATTTAAAAGCCAATTCTAACTTTACAAATGAAAAGACAAGCTTCAGATTGAGAGAAAAATATTTCCAAGTCACATATTTAACAAAGCACTTACATACAAAAGATCTTCAAAACTAAATAAACAATTTAATTAGAAAAATGAACAAGACATAAATAAATATTTCACCAAAGAGGGTAAATGGATGGCAAATAAACATATGAAAAGATGTTCAACATCATTAGCCAGTAAGAAAATGCAAATTAAAACCAAATGAGATATTAATACATACCTATTAGAACAGCCAAAATTAAAATAAAAAATGAGAGAGAGAGAGAGAGACGACTAAATGTTGGTGAGAATAAAGAGAAACTGGATTTCTCAAATAACTACTGGTGAGACAGTAAAATGGTACAGCTACCCTGCAAAGTTTCTTTCTGGCAGTTTCTTAAAAAGCTAAACATACACTCACCATGCAACACAGCAACTGTACTCTAAGGTATTTATCCTACAAAAGAAAACTTATCTTCAAACAAGTCTGTAATACTAATGCTTATAACAAGTTATCTTGTAATAGCCAAAAAAGCTGTAAGCAATACAGATATCCTTCAACAAGCCAGTGCGGTTAAAGAAACTATGAAACATCCATACATACAGGGTAATATGAGCAAAAAAAATGCAGTAACTATTGATAAATGCAATAATTTGGATGGATCTCAAGGGAAAAAAAGGCCAATCTCAAAAACTTACATTTTCTGTGATTCCTTTTAAATCACATTCTTAATACAATAAAACATTCAGAAATGAAGAACAGAATCATGGTAGCTAGGAGACAGGGACAGGGTGGATGGGTGGGTATGACCCTAAAGGGGCTGTATAATAGATTTTCTTTGTAATGATGGGATAATTCTGTATCTTTATTGTGGTAGTAGTCATACACATCTATTCATAGGATCATATCTCAGAGACACCGACACAAAAATGAGTGTAAGTAAAAAATGCTAAAAGTTGAATAAGGTCTTTAGTTAACGGGTATACTGATGTAAACTTCCTGCTTTAAATATTGCACTACAGTTATATGTCACCCTTAAGGGAAGCTGGATGAAGGGTTTACTAGACTCCATTTACTTCTGTGAGTCTACAATGATTTCAAAATAAAAAGTTTAAGAAGACCATTCTAATTTTATGGTTTTTAAAAATGGCTTAATGACCAAAACAATGATTAGTGAATCAAATCTTTATTATCTGCAAATAGATTATTGGAGTAAGTTTGGTTGAATTCTTCCTCAAATTATATCAGTGGATCCTGGGACTCCTTTTACTTTCTATTGTGCTTTCTATACTATGATTTTACTTACTATTCTAAAACAGTAGGACTAGATATAAAGTGTAAGAGGAGCTGAATGTCTATGTATGACTTAGTGATTTCTCATGTTGGTATCAAATACAAACCTAAGTGACTACAATTATATAGTTGTAAAAAATTTGGTAGAATTTACTATTACTTATTTATACTATTGCAAGAACAGTGAAATGGGTAATACCAAGGAATGATTCACCCTGATATTGCTGCTTTAGCTTCTATACTTGCTGTATTATCAGTTTCCAGTAGATTCTTCTCTCTAAATTGTTTTGCTAGGTTGATTAAACCTAATAATCTCAGCATTTCAAGTAACAATCAGTCTATTCTATTGCCTCAAAAATTTCAACTCAATCTACTTCTTTCACTAGCTGCCTCTATCCCATTTTTTAGATCACCATTATTTCTTGACCAGAAATTTACAGCTTCTTTATTGGTCTCCAAGTCTTACACCATTTGTGATACCACTTTCACGTAAAAACCTTTTCCTGACCCCTCAAATTCTAAATTCCAAATTCCCTAACATCATTTAAAAGGAATGATTAGTTTCCCAGATTAATGCACTAGCTCCTTCTCTTAATACCGTGCCTTAATCTCTCTACCCTTCTTCACTCCAACCTCAGATGTTAAACTGAGACTTTATTTCCTTGGGAATACTTTCTGTGACATCCCTGTACACTCGTATTCTGAAAAAAGTCTGAGTGTTAAGGGTCCCTAAAGTGATTTCATAATATATACGATCTTCCTCTTTCTTTCACACAACTTAATTAGTACAGGGTAATGCAACTAACTCTGTGTTTACCTATCTGTTTGCTCCACTAGACCAAGGCTCCTTGAAACAAGGGCTCAGAAATTATGCTATCATTGTATCCGAATCAATTAGTAAATGTTGGCAGACAGTTGGTTTTCAAAAGAATATTTGATAAATGAATAAATGCTAGGCAGTGGAGGGTGTCCAGAGGTAAACTAGCTGCCAAAAAAGAGGCAGGTTAGGTTAAATCAACTGCTTAGTAAATTTTAAATTTTCAAAGTTACATGCCATCACCCTCAAAAAAACACTACCAAGTATAAAAGAACGATAAGTTACAGAAATATAAAGAGTAATTTATTTTGTAATTCAAGTAAAATATATGCAGTATACTATCTTGGTAGTGTCTCAGCAACAGAATTTCAAAATGGTTAAAATACAGTTAATTTGTTTAAGAAATTTATTTGAGAAGTCACAAGATTAACAAAAGATAAAGTACACAAAATTTTTTTATGAATTTTAAATCAAGTTGCAAACCTTATATAGCTACATGTCTGGTGATTCAAGATTATTTCTTTCTTTTTATAATCCCAGATTGATAGCTCACTAGTAACATTTAAAAAGGATTAATGACGATTCTCAGAG